GTAGTTGTTGAATAAGGGAGTTGCTATCATTCTGGATGGTTCTGTAAGAATGACTTCTTAGTTTTCATTTTGATATGTTATGGATATATGGTAATGAGTTTTGTCTATAAGAATAATATCTAGGAGAGTAGTGTTGTTATTGTTGTTTGCATGGGATGTTGTGAATAGTGAAAAGTAGGAATCATTACTAATAGTTGGACTTGGTTTTGGATTTTGATTGGTCATGGTTAATTGAATAGAATAAATTATTGATATGTTTACTGTTGATGTGCTCTTGCAGTGACATGTTTGTTGTTGTTATCACTTGTGTTTATAAAAACATGATTGTGGTATTGACATGTCAGTTTTGTTGACATGTTAATTATAAGACATGTTTGTTTTGTTGTCATGTTTGTGTTATTAACATGCTGGTATTGTTTACTTAAACTTATTTTGATTTTGGTTGACATGTGAATCTTGTTTACTTAGGTTGTTTGATTTGTTTTATGTGTTTTCTAATATGTCAATCACTTGCTGAAAATAAGCTGATTCTAGTTTTTCCCTTAATTAAAATTTGTCATGTAACTATAGATTATTGATATTGACTGATATATTGTTATTTTGTTTATTTGAATTCTTTGATCTGGATTCCCTAAGGAAAGTCTGGTGTCCTCTTGTTTTTTGTTTGATGTTGAGGTTGCTTGATTTATTGGATGAAATCTGGCTAGCAAAAATTCTTCTGGTGTCTAGGGAGATGCAAAATCTTGTATACAACTGGTTAGAAGCTAGAAAGGTTGATACTGACTTTTCTTTGAGCTTACTGTGAATTGTAATGCTTGTGTTTTTTTTTCTCTAATGTAACTTTTGTCTATTGAAAAGAGAAAAGGTGCCTAACAAAAATTGTTACTAACATAATTCACAAAATAGATTCACATTTCTGAATAGCTGTGTTTTGGTTATAGTTCTCTATTATTTGTGGTTCTTTTGTGTTTTTGAGAATAATGATGATTTTTGACAAGTGTTCTTAAAATTACCAAAAAAGGTAATTTTTAAGAATTTGATAATTTATAGGAATTATTATTTTTGATATATTGTTTATTTATATCAATTATATATTTATTTTTTAGATTTTTTTCTATTTTAATAAGTTTATTTATCTTATTATTATTATTTTTTTTTATATACTTTAATTTTTTTTATATTATTTTATATTATTTGATTTTTTATTTTTTTTTAAATAAGAATTATTATTAGTATATTGTATCTTTATTTTATTTGAAGTTTATATTATATTATATAAATTATACTTTTACCATCTATTATTATAATTGCTTCTATAATTGAATTAATAAATATTAATATTATAAAAATTATTATTAATTCTGCTTTGATAAACAAGAGAAAAAATTCTTTATAGCAATCTTTGAATTCTATTTTCTTTAGCATATAACAAGTATATATTGTATATATAATATATAATATAATTAATAATCAATTATTATTTATTTATTTTTTTATAAGAATTTTTAAAATTAATATATAATATCTTGTAATTTTATTTTATTTTATTTTTTTTTTAAAGTGAAATATGTGCAAGGCATGTAATCTTTTATTGATATATTTATATATCCAGACAGATACCAAATATCTCTAAAAATTAACCAGAAATCAGTTGATACATAAATATCTATTATGTTTATATAGCTAATCTGCAGATTAATACTGCCTAATATATATATTGCTATAAAACTAGCTATGCCAACCACTTATAATCCAATTATGCATTTATTTAAACATTCAAAGATGTGTCCACACATCAGACCTTGTAATTTTAATAATCATTGATTATTTATTTTATAAACAATTATTAATGTATTAGTTATAATAAAATATTTGTCTCACATTTAATGCCTTTTGCAAAAAAAAAAAAAAAAAAATATTTAATAAAAGCTATATATTTATTATTTGTTAAAAAAAATCAAAATTTTATATATCAAACATATATAAAATTCACTGTATATATTATTGTTTTTGTTAAAAAAAATTTTTTTATTTGGTTTTTTTTTTTAATTTTTATTTATATTATTTTTTTTAATAAACATGTGATGCCTCAAAAAACAATTTATTGTGCCACAGTGACAAGGCTGCGCCACATGATCTACATTGTCTTCTGGGAATGCGAATTTTGTGGCTAACGAAGTAGAGAACCTCCTGAAAAGATACAGCAAAGAAACAAAAGAAGGATTTGCATTGTATATTTATAATAATAAGACGGGTAAAAAGAGCAAGAAGTTCATCTCTTTGAGAAGTCTAAAGTTCTGGTATTTACAAAAGGATGAGTCCAAAAGTTTCTACACCTCCTTCTTCTCGACCCGGTACACCCAATCATGCCAACGGTCAGTCTCTCGACCTTACTATTGGCTGTAAATTGTTCGTAGAAGTGAAATTAGGTAAACAAGAAGATAAGTTGCAAGAATTTCGTAAAGCAGAGATTTTATCCATCCGTACAAATCCAGTTGGCCAAACCGAATATTATGTACATTTTTTGGAGTTCAATAAACGGTTGGATGAGTGGGTAAAGGTGGATAGGTTTGATTTAGCGAGGGATATTGAAAGGCCAATAAAGAAAAAAATCGGTAAAGGAAGCATAAGAGACACTGATACTCCTCCTCGTGTTGGTTCTCCATCTACGGTCGGTCAAAAAAGGAAGCATGCGGCTTTAGAAGATACTCCAATACCAACGACGCCATCGCATGAGCAACAGAATGATGAATATGAGTCAGTGGATGGAAGTGCGACACCCGGTAACGTCACTCCTTTGGGTCCTCTGAACACCATGTTTACAGAAGAACAAGAGATTGAGAGATTACGTACATCTGGATCAATGACGCAAATACTTTCTGAAATCTCAAGAGTAAAGAATCTAGAAAGAATTCATTTCGGTCCTTATGATGTTGAAACGTGGTATTTTTCACCATATCCCCAGGAGTATAGTGAGGTGGGAGAAGTACACATTTGCGAATTTTGCTTATATCATTTTATATGTGAAAAGCAACTTCGTAGACATTCAAAGAAATGTCAGATTAGACATCCACCTGGAAATGAGATATATCGATGTGGTGACATATCGTTCTTCGAGATTGATGGAAATAAACAAAAGACCTACTGCCGTAATCTATGTCTTTTGTCTAAACTCTTTCTCGATCACAAGACTCTTCGCTTCGATGTTGATCCTTTCCTTTTCTACATAATGTGTCAAACGGATAATTACGGATGCCATTTAATTGGCTATTTTTCGAAGGAAAAAGAGAGCACGGAGGGTTATAATCTGGCTTGTATTCTTACCTTACCTCAGCACCAACGAAAAGGATTTGGTCGGTTATTGATTGCTTTTTCATATGAACTCTCCAAGAAAGAAGGAAAGGTTGGATCTCCCGAGAAACCATTGTCCGATCTCGGATGGGTTTCGTATCGTTCTTATTGGTCGGAAGTGATAGTGCAGATATTACTGGAGGCCAGAAATAATAATGATGAAATTACCATTGAAGATATTTCCGGGAAAACGAGTATTAAACAAGACGATGTGATTTCAACGTTAAATTATCTGAATGCATTAAAGCCTTATAAAGGACAGACAATAATTTGTTTGTCTGAAGGTGTGATCAACGCTTATCATAAGTCGAAAGCTAAGCATCAAAATCGTAAAATCGATGAATCATGTCTTCAATGGACGCCGCCACACTTCACTTCTAACCAATTAAGATTTATTTGATGAAGGGTAAGTTAGTGACACATTTTTGATGTTTGAATTCTTATTTAATTTAATCATTTGGAAATATTAAATGTACGACAGTTAATCAACGTTTGATTACTTTCCGATGAATCACGAACTCATCCATATAACGATCGTGTGTTATAGTATCGTCAGCCTTTGTCATCAACGCCGTATACTTCATTGGCGGTAAATCGGTTTATTCTTTCCCGAGTGGTATAGAGGCTAGCTGATGTTCTTTTTGGCTACATAGATTTAGCTATATATATATTTACCTATATATATAATGCTATGTATTATATTTTGCTACTATTCACCTTAATAATGACTATTTGTAGTTTATGGGGATGTTGCAAATATTTTTTTTGCGAGTTATTAATGAAGAAGCTAATAAAACATACTTACAACTAAAAAAGTTATTTATTAATTTTAATATATAAAGATCATATACAAATAGATTATTATTAATTGTCTTGGTAAAATATTTTACATCGAAGTATAAAAATTTTTTAATTTAATTTACAAGCATTAAAATTTAATAATTTGAATTTAATTATTTATCTTAATCAAACGGTTTTCTTTTTTTTTTTAATTTAATTATTTATCTTAATTAAACGTTTTATTTTTTTAGATATACAGTAATTTATTTATTTATTGAATATAAATAGCAATCATAATAAAATTATAAATTACAAATTATTATTAGTCGAAAGAACTTTAAAGCTAAAATTAATTACTGTAAAAGCTTTAAGTTTTTGGTTAAATAAATAAATTTTTCGGCAATTATTATATAATGCTTTAATGCAAATTTTATAAAAAAATTTAATCAATATAATCTTATGATAAAGCACTAAACATAAATTCGAATCAAAATTTAAATAAAAGTCTATATTAAGTTTATTTAAGTCGAATTAATTTTTTAGGTTTATATTTTTTAAAAAATTAGATTTGATACATTCTATAGATTTATTTAGTAAGCTTTAATTAAAATGAAATAAAAAAATATATATTATCAATTTGCAAATAATAAATATAACAAATAAATAAATAAATAAATAAAATAAAAATTAATTTTTTAAAAAATTCTTTATTAATTTTTCCATTTTATAATTTTACAGAAATTTTAATTATTTTGCATATACAGTATGAATTAATTTAATAAAAATCAATTAAACATATATAATATTATATTTTAATAAAAATTATAATTTTTTTTTACAAGTATTATTTCTTGAATACAGTATTTTTAAATATATATATTTTTTTTAAAAAAATAAAAATCCATAATTTTTCAATTACACATAATCAATAATAATTTAACATATAAAATTTAAGTTTAATTTGATTTAAATTAAAAGATAAAAATAAATTTATTTTTAATTTTGTAATATTATAATTAGATATATAATGTAATTGAATTTAAACATTTTTCAAAATTTATATTATAATAAAGTATTTAGATAACATATAGTAAATAATTAAATTTATATTAAATTTAAAATTAAATTAATTAAAAATTTTTTATATTATATTATATATATATATATAATCGAAATATTATTTTATTTCTTAAAAAATCATATAATTACAGTATCATATAAATAAATAACAAAAATTCTCATACAATCTTTTGTTTTTAAAAAATAAACAAAACTAATGCGTATTGCTGTTTTCTTAAATAACAAAATTAATAAACTCAATGATAAACAGACTGATTAAAATAAAATAAAATATAATAATAATAATGAAATAATAAAAATAAAAAATACTAAAATAAAATAAAAATTTAATTTTAATACAGAAATAGCAATTTTAATAATAAATATTATGCAGTAATTTTATTGTAACTATATAACTGTTTTTAGATTAATATATAAAAATTATCTGCTGGTTTTTGAATTTAAAATAGGTTAAAATATTTTATATTATAAATAAATATTAATTTAATACATATATTTATTGTTATAACTTTATATAACAGTTAGGTTTTTCATATTTATATATAAAAAATAGAAAAAAATATTAGAGCTTGGAGGTGAAGCAGTTTAAACATAGATAAATATGCAGCATATGTTTACATACCATCAAAATTTAAAGACCTGATCTTGCGTGTAGCCAATATTCCCTAACAATCCACCTATAGGTCCCTGTGATAAATCTCTTGCCTTTTCACCACTCACATGTTTGACCATCCTAAATCATTTCTTTGTTATTAAAATAAGTATAATGCATGAAAAGTTGCGAACGCGATACTCACTCATCGGGACCACAAACCAATAGAAGAACATCTTGTTGAGGTCCGGGAATATTGTTTTTCACCATCTCCTTGGTCACATAACCGATACCCTGAGTCCAGGATTCCCCTTCGGGTAGCTTTTCCAGAGTGTAATATATGTGTAACTGATCAGGATGTTCTCGTGACAGCTGCTCTAATTCTTGAAAAAGAAGAATATCTTGCTTGGCAACATTTGCATAAATTAAGTATATTTTTGTCTTATCTACGGAATTACGGCAAATGTGATCTATAATTTGGTACCTATTATTGTTATATAAATAGAAACTTTTAATAAATTAAAAAAACCATCAATTGTGTTAGTATTAAACCTACATGGGAGTTATTCCTGTTCCTCCACAAATCTATGTATCAGATAGTAGAAAATTGGTTTATTTCTATTAAGTTGGTAGATGAAAAAGTGTATCATACAAAACACGTTGAAAAAGATATCCGACCATTCCAACATGCGTCTTCATGTTAGTTGTATAAGGAAAGGAAACAAATGGACCTCTAACCTCCAATGTTTCACCTTCCTTTTTGGAGTGAATGTATCGTGACATATGTCCATGGTCATACCGTTTGATCAAGAAATCAATATGATGCTTTTCATTTGAAGGAGAAACAGGAGTATATTCACGCATGATTTGAATTAAATCATCTTTAATATGAAAGCAAGAGACAGTTGGCAAAGGTTCCTCGAATGAAGTTGGAAATTTCAAGCGAAAGACACTTGTGTTATGGTTGACTGGAGAGATTTGGGTAATAGTCAAAGGGACAAATTCTTCAGGTGAAATTGTCTTTCGCTGTAAGGTACCTAAATAAGTGTAGAGAAGTACAGTAAAGATGCCACCTCCCAAGGCGATATTTTTCCAGTTCAAGAATGTCGGTTCAACTCGAGTCGCATAATTTCGGGTTGGATTTTGCAATAAGACTCTATGGTAATGGACACTTAATGGATATCTTGTGAACATCATCTGAAAGTATTATTTATAGCTGGTTATAAATAAAATTGATCTTGATAATCTGATAATCAAATTATCGAACATTTAAGTACTGCAAGCTAATGAACGCGTCTCAACTACAAAACATGCAATTATTAGACCAGTTATTAAAATTTACAGACATCCTATCTTCTGCAAAAACTTCGTCTGTAAGTCAGTGGAACGTTGAATGTTTGCAAAATGCAATTCAGTGTGCTATGAATGTCGAGAACGAAATGTTTATGATACCCGAAGAAGAAATTAAACGCGTATATCAGCAACTTGTTTTACGAGCGAAAACACAACCACCCGACATTCCGGAATTTGGGAGTGCTCATCATTTATTGTACGGGACGTTGTTGAAGAATGTTTATTTGTCAAGTGAACTGTTCTCTTATATCATGAGTACATATGAATTTCCACTTGAAGGTTTATTTTCCAAAAAAGATAATATATCCGAAGTATGTCTCGGTAGTTATATATTTTCATACAAATAACTGATAATAATGAGATCAAAGATATGGATATGAGTACTTCAATTATATCTTTAAAAAATAGGACGTCCAAATATTTGCCAGGCCGTTGGCAACATCTGAGATACTAATAGGAATTGAATCATCTTTTCGATCTAATATGCTTCATATTAAATGCAGATCTACTGGAAATCAAAATAAACGGAGTCGATTAAATGATGATACGCAAAGTAATTGCGGCAAACTGTCTGGTAAGTATCGCATAGGAGTCACCTGACGATACAATTGTTATTATTAATTCACGGTTTCCATCTGTTCATAGCATATCAAAATGAAAACTAAGAAGTCATTCTTACAGAACCATCCAGAATGATAGCAACTCCCTTATTCAACAACTAC